GGCTGGTCTCAAACTCCTGAGCTCAAGCAATCCTCCCGCCTTGGCCTCCCAGAGTGCTAGGATTACAGGTGTGAGCCACCGCGCCCGGCCTGGATTGAGTATTTTTTATGATTCCATTTCATTTCCTTTGTTGGTTTATTAGATATAATTAATTTTGTTATTTTGGTTGATTTAGGATTTATAGACTACATCTTTAGCTGAATTCAGTCCACCTTCAAATAATATTATACCACTTCACATATAGTATAAGAACCTTACAATAACATACTACCATTTACCCCTTCCCTACCATTATGTTATTGTTTTCGTATGTTTAATTTCTATTTATCTCACAATTTTTTAAATAAAATACCTTATTGAGATATAATTGCATAGCATACAATTCATCTATTTAAAGTCTACAATTCAATTGTTTTTAGTGCATTTGCAGAGTTTTACAGCCATCATAATAAATAATTTTAGAACCCTGAATCCTGAACCCATTAGCAGTAACTTCCCATTCCTCCCAAGCCCCCTCCTAAGCCCACTTGACAATTGTTAATCTATTGTCTGTCTCTATAGATTTGCCTATCCTGGACATTTTATATAAATGGAATCATATAACATGTATATGTAGCCTTTTGTGACCATATTTTTTACTTAGCATAATGTTTTCAGGTTTCATTGATATTGTAGCATGTATCAGTACTTCATTCTTTTTATTGACAAATAATATTCCATATGGGTATAGCACATATTATTTATTCATTTGTCAGTTGATGGACATTTGAGTTTTTTCCACTTTTTAAAAAGTCGTATGATAACTCTATGTTTAATCATTTGAGAAACTACCAGATTGTTTTCCAAAGTGACTTCATCATTTTATATACCCACCAGCAGTATTTGAGGGCTCTAATTTTTCCACGTTCAGTTATAATCTGACTTTTTATTCTAGCGATCCTAGTGGATGTGCACTGGTATCTCATGGTTTTGATTTGCATTTCCATTATGACTAATAATGTCAGTATCTTTATAAGTGCTTGTTAGCCACTTTTATGTCTTCCTTGGGTAAATATTTATTCATATTCTTTGCCCATTTTTAATTGGGTTATTTGTAATGATATTTTTATTACTGAGCTGTGAGAATTTTTATATACTCTGTATACCAATTCCTTTTTGGATACATAGTTTGTAAATATTTTCTTCCATTCTATGGGTTGTCTTTTCATTTTCTTGATGATATTACATGTTAATTGCCTACCAGAAAAATGAATATTTGCCTTTTTTTCTCCCTCTTCTTCCATAAACATAGACACATATGTTCCTACTTCCCATCACCCAGTATGGCTATAACATAACTTTAGTTAGATCAAAATTTTTATGACTATTCATGCTACACAAAACTGAACCTGCATGCCTTTTTTGTGGTTTCTTTTCCAGAATTAGTAACTATTTTTCTATTTGTTTGTTTAACTGCATACATTCACTAATTTGGGCATAGATAGTTCCACCAGTTACCTAAATATCCTTTCAGTCTATTCATTCACATCAGGTACTCAGTCAACGTCAATCTCTTGAAGAAGTTTCTTGCACAGGCTTTCTGTACTGGTTGCCCCTCTTTCCCCTGGATCTACAGCTGTGACACCAGGTTCCCTCTTCAACATCATTTCTTGTCGCTTTCGTGTTGGTCTCATGTCTTCTACTTCCTCTAGTGGTTTATTCTCACCTTTTTGTAGAGCACATTCTCTAGTAAGTTTCTGAGAAAGAATGAGACTTTCTATGTCTGAAAATTTTTTTTATTATTCTCTCATAATTGATTGATAGTTGGGCTGAAAATAGAATTCTAGGCAGGAAATAATTTTCCTTCAGAATTTTGTAGGCATTTCTCTACTATCTTGTAGCTTCTAGAATTCCTGTTGAGAATGTGAAGCCACTGGGATTCCTAAATTATTGGATATAACTTGCTTTTTTTCCCCTTCCATCTCTGGAAGCATGTTAAGACCTTTTGTTTTCAACATTTAAAAAAAAT